GATGGAATGAAGGCTACGATGTTATACTTCAGTTTCAGTCCAAATTGTTTTAGTCTAACAAAAAATACCCTTAATTTGTTTCAATTTAAGGAAGACTCCAAAGAATGAAAACACGTCACGGCAAAACTAAATTTCTTAAGCATCCTTCGTCGGAAAACAAGAAGCCCAACATAGGTTAAGTTGACCATGATTGCCGCAGATTTACCACGGGTTAATACCAGGCGATGTGCGCACTCTGATTGTGATGCATTGTAGTAGCGATATTTTCAATATGGCGGTGAAAGCGGCAGAAATCTGCAGATTTGGACAGAGCTTTCCGTAAAAGTTAGGTTGTTCCTTTTTTTCTGTCACCATAGGTACACGATATTTGATTGATTTTGAATGTGTAGAAGAATTTTTTGTACGTATGTGTCGCGTATTCAATGGTTCTCAAGGAGAAACGCAATTATTGTTTTTTAGAATGTAACTTGAGACCAGTTTTCGAGAAGGTCAAATTTGATGTACGTCGTTGTTTGAAGCCTTTCAAAAATTTGAATGGCCGCTTTGGTCCTCTTTAACAGCTCTGACTAAATGCTCTCGAATGCTCTCCAACGGTACACGTGTTTATGCATTTTAAGTGATAGTGTTTGAGACCGGTCATGGCCGCAAAAGGCCTATTGTTGTGTTTAGTGTATTGCGTTACACAGCGTTACCATTGTAAGGACATCCATGTATATTCAATCGTGTTGTAAATCTACTTTCCTAAGTAAAAGCAAATTAATTAATCACGAGTATTGTATGGTAAATCTACTATCTTGATCACTGAATGAAGGACAGTTGAATTAGAGCAGTGAAAGGAATCACTTGACCAATGAGTAACTCTACATTGCACGAGACGACACGCCGGGTAAACCGGAGAGCACAAGGCAGCGCAGCAGCCGACCTTTAAAAGGTGTTGATAGGCTTGTGCGACTCTTGCCATCCGCTAACGCTTGGAAATCTTCTGCCCTCAAAGTTTAGCTGTTATAAGGATATCTTTTAATGATTTTCCCTCGCGATTTGATAATAAGGGTTAGTTTTAAGGTGTCATTTCCCCATCTGTATTTTCTTTTGGCAATATAAATTTTCTTCTGTGTACGTCTGTTGTTTTAAGTATACTTTCTTTCCCGCAGAAAATTACTCCGGAGATACGTTCACAACCTATATTCTACTCTATTCTTTAAGCGTGTTATGAAACTCTGTACTTTTTTTTTTATTAAACGTGGGGCGTGACGAATTCGTTCTTAGCAGGCGAAGGGCTTCTTCTTCTACGAATCCCGTATTTACGCCAATGATGACACGAAAAAAGGTTAGTGTATCAGAAGGTCTTTTTAATGCTTTTAATATAAGACTCACGTCTAGGAATGTATTTTCTGAATTTTTTATTATTCACACAGCATATGAAAGTCACGCTCAACGAAAGGCTCTATCGGATATTGCGTGACACCCGCCGTGACCCGACTGACCAAAGAATCTGCGAATTTTAGAAGATTTCGCTCTCTCTCTCTCATTTAAAGAATGTTATCGTTCTGTTACCTCCAGATTATGAAAGAAAAATATTTAGGCTTTACGTAGAGGTGTGAATTATACCGGTAAACAATAATCTTGTACTGGCAAATAAATCTTTTGTGTTGCTGACTCGCGATATTTTATGAAGCTTTGACCTCATTTTTCGAGATGGGGAAAGACTCTGGGCCGAGGTTTCTACAACGCATGCTGCCATCTGCGCGTTACCGCCAAATTTGAAAAGAATAATAAATTCCGCGTATTTTGATGTATAATTCATTAGGGTACGGTTAAGTTTCGGCCTGGCAAATGGGCCTTGAAGTCAACGCTTTAGTTCTATTTCTGCTGCTGACCTTTGTAAACAGCGCGAGTGCGATATAAGAGGAATTCGAGCGAGCAGAACCCGGAGATGTCCCTTCATTTACATACGAAATAAACAAGTAAGTATCTATTCAAGCTTAGTTAATTTATTCGAAGATTCATTGTGTTAAAGAGCCTTTTCGTCTTGTTTTGTAGCTACCTCATCTATTCAGTCTGTAAGGAACTAGAAGGGAAAATCGACGACTTAAGTACCGAGTCCGCTTCGTCGCCAAGAATAAAAAGAATTTTCGAAGAGTCTGCGCTAATGTAATCATCAACAGTCGTATTGTTAATGTCTTCAAGAAGAAAATTTCGCTTCTTCTCTCGGCATTGAAGAAAGCTGGTCAAAAAGGCAGTCGCCATGTTAAGAAGCTTAAGGAAAAATGGCAGAAAGAAGCGTACTCATTCAAGGTATTTTATGATGAAATTGAAACATGACAGCTACACCAGGAGAACAGGGGTGTGCGTGGACAAAAGAGAAAGCTGGAAGCATCCCTCACAAATGAACAGGCGAAAAGGCTAAAGGTAGAAGAGAAACTCGAACAGGTACTTAAGAAGACAGAAAAGAAGGATGAAAACTACAAAAAGAAATTTAAGATTCTAGCGCGTAAAATTGCAAAACTATAGAGAGATGGAAAGAGAGGGCCGGACAAAAAGAAAAAATTTATCGATTATACGAAACCGCATCAGTCACGTCTTCGACAACAGATGAAGGAAAACTGTCAGCCAAAACTATCCTTCCTTGGATTGAATGATTTTATTGCCACAAAAGTAGAAGTTTTCAATGGCGAAACTCAACAGTACGAGACATTTCCTTGATTGATCAAAACGAGCTTCCACTAAAGGACAACGACTCAACGGAACTGACAGATGAAAATTTGGGTGACATTAATATGTGGATCTATATTAAAGATAGATTTCAAATGAGGCTTGGCATGAGTTGGCCACGAAAACCAAACAGATGCCAAACAATTATAAAACAGAGAAGAAATTAAAGGACTTTAATGCAAAATGGGATCTCCAACCCACACCTGGCCAAGCCAAAGGAGTCCAGTTGGGTTTTAAAGAATGTTTAGAGGAACAAGTAATCAGGCTTCAGGGGAAAGGAGTTTTTAACATGAACACAAAAATCAAAGTTAAAATTAGTGGGGATGGGACTAACATTGGCAAAATGCTCAAAATTGTTAATGTACCTTACACAATATTAAATGAAAGAGATATTGCAATGAGTGAAAAAGGCAACTATATTCTTGCCATAATCAAAACTACTGTAAGCTATGATAATTTAAAGGCAAGCATTGCAGATCTTAATGATGAAATGCTGAATTTAAAGGAATTGTGTGGGTGATTATAAATATGACATTGAATACTTTTTGGGAGGGGATTGGAAGTTCTTAGCTTATGTGTGTGGTTTGGGTGCAGCAAATCTTGTATTTGGTGCAAGTGTCCCAGGAGTGAAAGGTTTGATGCAACAAGAAGTGGTCCCTCACAGACAGGTCCCTTGGTGTAAGATCATGTGAAGAAATAACCAGCAATGCAAAATCTGAGAAGTTTAATTGTAAATCAGAGCCTTTATTTTCTTTTGTTCAAATTGATCATGTCATGATTGACAAACTTCACTTATTTTTGAGGATTTCTGACAACTTGATTGAGCTTCTTATCCAGCAACTTTGTAGGGAAGATGCTATAGATGAAGTGAAAACTTTTCCTAGTGGATTTACAAGGGAGAAATATAAACATATGGCTGGATATGAAAAGTTTCTGAAGAACATTGGTATTTCCTTTGACTGGAGTAAACAAAGACTCCAAGAAATTAGAATATAGAGACCTTACTGGACCAGACAAACTGCTTGTTATGCAAAGCATAAATTTCCAATCACTCCTTCCCAACTTCAAGCAAACTAAAGAAGTGGAGAAACTATGGGCCAGTTTTATGGAAATTATTGGAGACCTGAAGCTTGAGTTTACAACTGATGATGCTATCACTCAGTTAACAAATAATCATGGTTTGATAAGTCTCTATGCTTGTATCAAGCCAAAGATGTTACCCCATACATGCATGCACTATATGCTCATTGCCTGAATTCTTAAAACTCTATTTAAACATATCCTATTTTACAAAACAAGGAGAGGAAAAATATAATGATACTGCAACCAAACACTATTTTAGATCCTCAAATCATAGGGGAATTTCTGCTCTAAAACAGATTCTCTTGAAGAAAAATAGAATACAGCTCTTAGAAGCAGCTGGCATGGAGAGAATAAAGAAAAGTTACAAGTGTAGGAATTGTGAAGGTCTTGGTCATACCATAAAGACATGCTCTGCTAACTGTATGAAATGCCAGACTGCAGTTTGTTGTGCACACCCTATTAAAGTTGATGGAAGGTGGACACAGATGTACATTGTAAATTTCTCTCTATTGACTTTAACTTTGAGGGCTTGGCTTCCTAGTTGACATGTTGATTACTGTAAATATAAATAAATGTAATATCTATGGTTAGTTAAGATATTCCAAAACTCTTTAAACTTTAGTGTAAACAAATGTTTTCATTCACTCAATTTCAATAATTAACTGACAACTATTATAAATTGATAATAAAATATATTCAAACAACAATAACTGTAGATGTGTGATTGTGATTAACTCTTTAATTTAGCAGTCCCCCCTTGTTATGTACTAATGTCTATTTCCATCTCCACGAACAAAAGTAAAAACAAGCTGATGGTCATCTTCAATTTCTGACCTCACATACTTTCCCCCTATGAGCTTGTATTCTATTATAGGGTTCCTTTCTGTAAACCAAAATCTCACAGTTCCTTCTGTCACATAAGCATAATCACCATTTGCGTTTAAAATCCATCCATCCCATATGACCCCCAGAAAGGTGTCTAGGTCGTGATTACAAATCCGATAGACTTGCTTGTTTCTTTCCCTTCTTGCGCGAGCAACAATACTCACTTCGAAAACATCCTCTTCCACAGGAATTTCAATCCTGATTTCTGGATCGTACTTCCTTCCAGAGTATAGTTTACGCTTCACTTCCCCACACATGCGGTCTTGGAAGAGATGCAAACGATCGTCTATAGATTCCATGGATGGTGTAAATTTATGTTCCAATCGCACAATAGTAAAGGTTTTACCATCATATGGCCTCCATTCGTCGAATTTATCACTAAATCCGTTAAACTGTATTTTTACTCGCTAGCCTTCTTTGTCGACCTCTTCCAACGCAATTTCGTAAAGGCGATTGTCCTTTTGACGCTTTGGCATTCCGCCCTTATCAGCTACAGCTTTTAACGGGTTTATTTCATTGATTAATCGCTTTGGGGCTTTGATTTCTCTTTCCACTCTGGCCGCCATGTTTGTTTTTATCATTCGCGCATTAAACTCTTGGTCATTCGCGAGAGTTTGGAGAGCCTGCAAGTTGAAGCAAATGTTAACCCTTGTATGAAATAACTTTAATATGCATCGGCTGTGAATGTAACTGCTGTCGTTTGTGTATATTAGGGACCTTAAGCAGTCGAGACGGCAACCCCAAGGAAGAATTCGTTTAAAACATAAATTGCTGCCTTTGATTAGAATTTAAAAAATGGCTACATTTATTCACCGTCTCATACAGCGTCACACTTCAGCATAACGTATAAAAGAAGCTTCGAGTTCCAAATGGAAATTAAAATAATTTGCCGTTGCGGTTTCGGTTCGCAGACGACGCAAATTGAGGTGATTTCTCGTTGCTGTTTTGCCTAGGGAGGCTAACAAATGTACTAAGTTTTAAAACGCACGTGCTGAGCTATTGTTTCGCCAATTAGATCTTTTATTTTTCCATGTCCTTGTTGCCGTCGCCGTCGTGGTTTGCTTAGGGTTCCTATTCTTAGGCAGGACTGCAGTCTCGATTCTTTCTGAATCTCGTCAGTTGCCTCGAAACGGAGGAACGACAAGAATCGCGCAGGCCTGTAAACACTTTTTAACTTTCGAAGGAACGGCAACAGACGATGAATCCTCATTGCATTCCACTTATATTCACGCCACCTCGCTGCCACCAAAGGTTCACTTGATCGCGACAAGTGCAACTGACTCATATTTTGTGTTGCGACCATGATGCAACGCGATCAGAGTACGCATACCGCGTAGACCGAGCAGAATTAGAAAGGCAATCACAATCAAGATATTGTTTGAAGGTTTTAAATTACATCCTTACCTCCAACCACAAATTTGCATTAAATTTAAAGAATTTGCACGCCGAACTTCACAGCGCAAAACAAAGGTACGAGAAAAAGGTTTTAATCGTTAAAATACTCGAAATTGCCGATGTGTGATGAAAGTCTATCGCTACTTCTTTCAAGGGAAAACAAAGTGTACATTAGCTACATGTATGTTAGCGCTATTGTTACTCACATGTTCTTTGTCCGTTTTAGTTTCTGGCGATTTCTGCCGTTTCAAGCTTGTTTTGCCAGTGATGGCAAAACAAGCTTAAGACGGCTGAAATCGCCAGAAACTACAACGGACACACAACATGTGAATAAGTTCCGTTGATTTTACGCGCAGAATGTTCATATTTCGAAATATTTGCCGGTGGTGGCGAAATAAGCTTAAAACGGCGGAAATCATCAGAAACTACCACGGACACACAATTTGTGAGTAAGTTCTATTGATTTAATGCGTAGAATGTTCATATATCGAAACATTTATCGTTGTAAATCGACCGTATTTCGTTCCCCATACTATTCTTTACAGCGTGTTGAAGTATGTTGTTGTGGTTAACGAGTCACACAACGCGTGACACTTTCATGAATTAATCGTTAACTTTTTCTCGAGGCGTGAGCTTGGGCCTGTGTTGTCAGGTGATGTCTACATTTGTGAAGCAGACAAACTACTTTGCATTTGGAGTTAGGGTCAAAAACGCTATCAATAGCTTCGAGTCTCATCCCGGGTGAAAGGTAACGAGGGCTGCTATAGAGCAGGTTGGTTGAATTTTTTTTTTTTGAATATGAACATTTAGTAATCTTGGTGGAAGGGAGGACACGATATGAGTGAATAATTTCCTTTCAGAGAGACGTAATGTTGTATGAAAAGCCCTTTTTACGCGATGTGGCTAGTTCCTCAGCTTTCATGGTATTATGATTGTCAAATTATCAGTGCCTTGTTGGGTTCATCAAACGACAATGTGGATTTGAAAGCAAGCACGAAGTAGTTTCGCAATCGTTGAATTTAGTCCTGATTGAAAATAACTACATTGTTGTTTTATAAAAGATGCTCTGATTTACTTGGGTAGGATCTTGTCGCTCATTAATGTTAAAGTTCGTATTTTCACAAACGCGCGCCATTTGATGTCAATACAGAGGTCGATCATAAAGTTCGTTTGTAGATTCTTGGCGAAAGCAAGTAAAATCACGAGCGAAGAGCGTTATTCTTGGCCACGCTATATTGACAAATTTCAGAATGAGGATGGTGACCACGGATTGAAAACAGAACTGTCCTTTCTTTACGTAGTTTTCAGCTACACGGCTCTATACTAGGATGTCTAACCTAAAAAGGTTACCATTCTAAGTTAAATGTTTACAGACGTTCACTTAAACAGTTGTCAAGGTCAGCCTTCATCCATGCTGTGTGACCTTATGGCCGAGACCCCCGATTGACCCGACTCGAAAGGGCGAGAATGAGGATGGTGACCATGGATTGAAAACAGAACTGTCCTTTCTTTACGTAGTTTTCAGCTACACGGCTCTATACTAGGATGTCTAACCGAAAAAGGTTACCATTCTAAGTTAAATGTTTACAGACGTTCACTTAAACAGTTGTCAAGGTCAGCCTTCATCCATGCTGTGTGACCTTATGGCCGAGACCCCCGATTGACCCGACTCGAAAGGGCGAGATTTGTAGTATTATTTCGTGTCAACACAAGCTCCAAAGCTAAACCGGGTTGATAGACGAATTTTAAAAGTTATCAGTTGCATAAGAACACATTAGTCATATTAGCGTAAATAATAAAATTTGCAATGCCTACAGATCCGAATATAATTATGCCTAATATTTTTTCACTTTAGCTCTAAACAATATCAAAAAGTGCCACTAAGTCCTTCGGGAAAGGAAAAGCAAGAGCTAAATAAGTGTGAAGCACAAGTTGAGGGAAAATTAGATGAGCTGGATCGAATAGTTTGTAGTAGTCAAAACCTCGACCAGGCTCGTCTCGGGTAAAGTTTCCGCACAGCCCTATACTATTGTTAAACAAATCTGTTTTCCCAAAGACAATGTATTGTTTTTGTCATTGTTTTCTCAATCCAAGAACTGAATGCATAATGAAGGATAGGGCTGTGCGGAAATTTTACCCTGGTCTCGTTCAAGAACAAGATGAAATATATTTTAGAGGGGCTCAAAGGTCTCATTGAAAGATAGCGAAAAGGTGCGATTTTTCGATCTAAGTGTAACTCAGTCGAACAGGATAAGAAACAAGCGTGTACAACGGACCGGGCAATTCTTACAACCGATCAGGTGCGTACAACAGAAGGAAAAAATTTTCAACTAATCGAATAAGCGCGTACAATTTACAACCGAACGAGCTTAAAACTGAGTAAATAACCTAATGAGTAAGTCTGTACAACTGACAGAGTACTATGATAACAAGGTAATTTGGCACTATCAACTGAGTTGATAACGTAATTTGGCCACCGTTAAGAATTTCAAAACTGAGGTTTCGAGCGTTAGCCCGCCGGTAAACCAATTTAAAGTGCAGCCTGATGCTTTTCTAAAATAACTATTGTTTTACCTGTGCAATAAACGATAAGTTTTTGACCAATCAGTAAGCTCATACTTTCTCTGTATTGTATAAAAAGGAGTATGAAGCACGCTCGCGCAATCAAATTTGATGACACGAATTTACTATCTATGTTATAAAATCCTATTCGTAAATGTGGGGAAGTAAACATCTTTGAAATCACATAGGTCGTTTTAGACAAGGAGTAAACAACAATGCGCTTTGTACAATTTGTCCATTTTTCAATCTCTACCTACAATGGAAAACAAACCCAGCTGGCTTCAAAAGTAGTATGCCTCAAAGGTATTCCACGTATTGAGCTGAGTCACAAGGACAAAATCCAATTAGTGGCTCCTTTAGTTTTTTGCGTAAAAAAATTTCCAATCAGGAAAACGCAAATCAACCATAAGCCACGGACGATGTTTTTCATGTAAACAAACAAGTAATTCAAAAGTTAGCTGGCTACGTAGAAACATAGAAATCGGCCTAAAAAGACATGTTAACCGTTTTGTAATGAAGTCTTCACCTTGTTACGTTTACTCGTTCTCTACATTCGCTCGCGTGGAATTTTTAACCCTCTAACTCCCAGAAGTGATTGACAAATTACTTCTACCTACAATTTACAGGTAATGAGAATGCTCAAATGTATTAGGCAAAAGTTGTTATCTCGATCTAACATCAAATTCTCGTAACTGATTTACAAGGAAATTTGTAGCAGCTAGAGGGGAGAACTAACAATCAGATCTTGGGAGTTAAAGGGTTAAACCAATTAATATCACTTTCATTTCACAGATCATGTCGACGTTTATCTTTACGTCTGCAAGGAGGCAGTCATCTCGTCTCCGCCATGTCAGTCCGATAAAACTGGCTACTTCCTATTTCTTGTCTACAAAAATAAGATCAGTAACAGGCAGTATTTTTGAGCGAATTCCTAAAGAGGAGCTGGCACCGAAAACCAGACCACGGCTGCGAGACAGGGAGTTTCTCCCAGGCTCAACGGGTGAAGGATTCCCAGAGTTCTTGGCGGAGCCAAGTGACTCTTTCCCGCACGGAGTGCGAGTCAATACTAGAGACCAGTCCTCTATCTCAGAACTGGGTGCAAATTGCATGAAATACATAAAGGAAAACCTTACTGATAGCCAGGCGATATTGTTCCGCGGACTTCCAGTTGAAACAGCAGAGGACTTCTTGGCCTTAACCGAAGGAATGCGAGGCAAGCCTCTGAACTACGAGGGTGGTACTTCACCCAGACCCAAGGAAATAGAAAATTCTGATATCTACTTTGCCAGTGCTGAGCCTGGAGCGTACACCATCGAGTTACACAATGAAATGGCGTATCTCGAGACTTTCCCCAGGAAGGTATTTTCATGATAAAACACAGACGACTAATGCTGAGGCACCAGGGTATTTTCTGGGCGCTCCAAACATCAGCAAAACTTCCACTAGGTTTACGATGCGCTATTGTTAATTCAGTAGTTCTTTCACTCATGTGTACGTTCCTTCATTCGTGGATACTGTGGTGTACTTTGGTTCATTCGTTATTTCACCAGTTCGTTTTTCCATTCATTCGTTCGTTCGTCCATTTTTTCATTCGTTCTTTCGTTCATTGGCTTACTCGCCCATTTGCTAATTAGTTAAATTCTTTGTCCATTCGTTGATTCTTTTATTTACGTTTGTCCTTTCATTCATTTCTTCTTCCACTTTAGGTATTTTTTTTCTGCCTAAAAGAGCCTGGTGAGAATTGTGGTGGCGAGACACCGCTGGGTAAATGCAGCGACATTGTACTCAAACTTGATCCCGAAGTCGTGAAAAAATTCGAGGAAAAAGGAGTCATGTATGCACGACATCTGCCGGACAAATCACGATCAGACTACATACCCTGGCAGCATCAGTTTTACACTGACGACAGAAAGGTAAGACAACTTGGTTCACGTCAGGAATCCAATGTAAGAATTGATTGTCCTTTAAAGACCAAACAAAAATTGTGGAGATTTAAAAAAAAAATGACGATTTTCAGTCTCCGGTTATTGAATTTACACTGATGACTTTATTTACTCTTTTAGGCAGCAGAAATAAGAGCACAGCAGCGAGGTTACACTGTAAAATGGGACGATAACGGTGATATGTACCTGACTTACACCGCGCCGGCCTTTCTTTCTCACCCAGTAACAGGAGAAAAAATCTGGTTCAACCAAGCAATACAACACCACTGTACTTACTCGAAAGCACTGCCACAGTACAAAGGTTCTGATCTCCCGGATGAGAAATATCCCTGTCACACCTATTATGGAGACGGAAGTGACATCGAACCGGAAGTGTTACAACACGTCAGAGCAGTTTCATGGTCATGCGCAGTTGGGTTTCGGTGGAAGAAGGGTGATTTAATAGCGCTTGATAATCTGAATGTTCAGCATGGACGAATGGCCTTCACGGGAGAGAGAAAAATACTGGTGCATATGACGGCAGACTGAACCTTACCTTTCATTTTGAGGCTTAGCCTTGTCTTTTACTTTTGTCAGGTTCATCATCATTAGGCACCATTTTTGAGACAATTTTTTTTAACCAAATAAAAAAACTCAATGTTAGCGTGTAGAGTGGTATGTTGCTCGCACCAATCAGATCGCCGCAATAGGGTATGTATCTCGCACCAATCAGATTGCCGCATTAGGGTATGTATCTCGCACTAATCATATCACAGCACTTGGATATCATGCACCAATCATTTTGGTGCGTTTGGGTATTATATTCTAGTAATGATGACATGGAATCAGGGGGCTGTGCACAAAGAATGACATTAACCGGAAATTTTGGGCTCCGCGCAACATTTGCATATATTTTTTCAAATTTCTTATAAAGTGTCTCCATGTCGTTTCATATACAAGTGACCTGACTTTCAGGTATGTTCTTGTTCTCCTGATATCAGTTGATATTCTCTTGGCTATTGTTAATCAGTAAAATGTTATTTCATTTGCTCCAAAATATTTTTTACGGCTTAAACATGAAATTTTTAGAATTGCACAGTACGGAGGCTTCCCTTCCTCAAAGAAAGCATTACATTGCAAAGAATAATTATCACAACATTCATGTATTCGTGTGCTTTTTGTTTCTTCCGATGCACTTCACGTACCTCTCTTACATACTCTAAAAGTTTAAAATCTGACGTTTTGAGCGTCCACTTAGTCCTATTGCTGTCATAGATCGGGCTGGTGATAACAAATCACGTCCGAAAAAATTGTTACTGTTTTGGTTTGATCGGAAATCATACTCGTGATTTTAAAATCGAACGAGTGCGCAGCGTGAGTTTGATTTAAATTCCCAATTACCTCTTAATTACGTTTATTTTGAAGGAACACTAAGAGGGCAAACAGCGGAGAAACTATTTTTTAAGAAGCACACACGGCGAGGCATTTAGCTAGGCCGTTTTTAAATAACTCATCAGTTCAGTTTAGAGATAGGATTTCTTCCACGCGGTAGCCGAGAGAACATTAGAAAGAAGAAGGAGCTAACAGAAGTAAAATTGCCAGTAATATAATGTTCTCTATAATGTTCTCTATATTGGTTATTGCCTCGTGTATTTTCAACCATGTGCATCAGTAAATTTGAATATAAATTTTTTGTCGAGCCTTACTCCCTTAGTACAATACATAAGTTTGAAATGTGTGATGACAGACCAAAAAAATTGTATTTGGGCGATTAGATTGTGCGATTCCTCTTAACTTTTTCTTCATTGGTTCCTTCAAACCGAGGTTTCTGTTAGAATTTCGCAGAATTTCGGAGCGGGGTCTGGAAAGAAAGACCAGCGGCTGCTCCCATTAGAGGCAGATGGTTGATGCAAGCACTATTTCAACCAGCGTACGGTTTTGTTGATTTCAACGTGTCTGTAGTCGTGACTTGAGTGATCATTGCTTGCGTATATCGCCTTTCTTGGTCTCTTAATCCGTCAGAGAAGCTTCTAGCTTGTGATTTGTGTCTTTGAAATTATGCCACCGCAAGAAAACGAAGGAAATCCGAACGCTTCGACTCATCCGCCCGAAGGCAGTGCGGCTAATTCTTCGACCAGCCCTAACTGGGCTGCACTTAGGGTAAGGAAGCCTAAAAGTATTTAAATTTATTGTCTGTGTCTTGAAATTTCTCAGATCTGTCAACATTTAGAGGTCGGAGTTATTCCCTCCTTTTGGGTTCATATTGAATTGAGATCTTACCGGAAGAAAACTTCCAGACGAATGAAAGTGTCTTAAATATGAAAAATAACTTTCGTTCATTGCATAGATCTTAGTGGTTTGAAATCTTGGTTGCAAATGCGTGAGAATTTGTGCCCTTAACTTTTTCATCAAGTGTGAATTATTTAGTGTGTTCAAAAAAATGTCAGTAGTCTATACTGGGACGAAAGTTTTGATTTTACATGATCCTGTATTTTTCCTCGGCACAATCACCACTTCCTGCATAGACAGTCTGGTCTTGAAGCATCCAGCTTATTTAATCCCGTTAATTGAAAACGTACTTCGGTAATTTCCCAAATTTCTCTGGTTAATAATTTATTTATCAGTTTTACTTGATGTTGAAGAAGAAAGGGAGCTTAGCTTTTAAACCCAGCTTATCCATGTTTATATTATATTTCCCAGAAGTGGAAATGTTGTGTTGTTCAACTATGAGTATTTTATCATGTAAATAATTTTTCTCAGTCATCTTTAATAATCTATTATTCTGGTTGTTGAGGGAAGGGAATATTCCTGCTTCAAAGTTATTAGGAAGTGAAAGGAGAACCAAAAATTATTTTTGAAGCTCATCTTCTTGGAAGTGTTTGGATGATAATATTTGACAAGGTGTTTTTTTGGGTCGTAATTTTTCAAACCCATGATAAGAATCACACGAAAAATGTCACAACTACTTAAAGGATGGTTACATATATGACATGCTTATATTTTCATAGCAGCCCTTGTATTTTGTGATATTTAAATAGTGTCCGGGGAGTTTTGGGGTTTTCACCATTCTCTCCTCTCTCACCTTGTAATCTTCAAAGAAATTTTTGATATGGCAGACATCCATGGCCTCTTAAAATGATATTCAACAATTCTGATTAGTTATCAATTTCGCAAAAGTTGAAACGGTGCTTTGAGAAACATCTTTCTGCAAAGTTCAATGCTAGAATTCAATAAATTCATGAAAACTTCTGAAAGTCTCAGAAACACTGTTCAAAAAATAATTTGATGGCGATCTGATTTTGCTTCATGTCATTTACAAGTCAAAAGTAAAAAGGACAAGTGAAAATGTATAAAGTAATGAAAACAACAGAGACAGAATGTTTTTTTTCCTTAGGGGTATAATTCCCAAAGGTGAATTGACAACTCAGTGTCAGGTAAAAAGTTTAGGGCAAATTGAGTCACTCAGTGTGTTGAACAAAGGCTTGATGATCTGATTAAAAGGCATTTCTTAGATAAAACAATTAAACATGCTGATACATTTTCTGTGATCTTTTAAAATGCAATCATGGGTTTGTTCCTCTCTATTGTTTTTATCTCTTGACATATTTCCAATTGTTACTTTTACTTTTGACTTGCAATGTCAAAATATTGACAAAATACCCATTAACAAATAATATGAGTTTTTTAGAAAGTTTCTATGTATTTAAATAATGTTCTAGAGTATTGAAGTTTGCCATCAACTGTGTGTTACAATGGAAATATGTGACTAAACAAATGTATGATGATATTCTGACTTGCAGCGATATCTGTTGGATAACAAAATTGATTCAGCATTATGGCTTACAAGAGTATTTACAATCGTCACTTCAATTCTTTATTTGCTTCCATTTTTTAGGTAAGTATATGAGTGAGTTGTCTAAATCCTTTTTTCACAGTAAATATCCAAGGGTTTTCAATGACAACTGTAGTAACAGGAAAAAGTAAAGTAATTAGGGAATATTCTGAATGAGGGAATGAAATAATAGCTCAGACATTTTAAATTTAGGCAGAGAATTTATTTTCATGTAAATATTTGAGTGAACTACAGGTGGCAGTTCATACAAACTGAAGTCATTTGAGCAATGATCAACCGCTCAAAGACATATCTAAGATTTAGTGACAATGATGGCTTATTTTATGTATAGAAACTATTTTGATTTTAATTGATTAAAAAGCTTTTCATTTCTTAGATTTCATGGACAATTAGTGAAGGATGTTGTACTAATTTAAAGACCAAAAAAGAAACAAAAAGGGTTGCTAATGACCAAACTAGAAAATATTGTAGCAAGTGACTCTGGCTGACATTTCTCAAGTTAAGGTCCCAATTTGTTAAAAAGTATATTTAGTTTTTTTTAAAGCTCAGAAGTCTTCTTTTTTTATCTATTCTAACCAAAAGTGTTTTCTGTAAAAGCCTGTTGCTTCTATTAGATCATTAAAATTCAAAATAATGAGGACATAATTATGAAGGAGTGAAATTTATGAAGCTGGGTAAATGGCTGATGCGACATCATAATGGTTAGCATGGTGTACTCTGGATCAGAAAGTCCATGTGTGAGCTTTGAGCAAGGTTTCTTTTGTTGCATTCTTGCTCTTGAGCATCACCCCTGAAATATGGATTTTTTTTTAATGATCATTTTTTTCATTATGCTTAATAATTTAACTGTTCAAAATAATAACTTTTAAGAGCCCCTGAACCTCCCTTCCCCACCCTCCCCCCATTCCTAAAACCAACTGGTGAAATTTGCTAATAATAAAAGGTTAAATGAAGTTGAGAACACACATTTTACTGGATCAAATCTTTAACCCCCTAACTCCCAGATCAAATTTATAATTCTCCTCAGTGTCAATCATACAATGCTTATAATGTTACTTCAGAGAATTTAGTATTGCACCAACTAATTAATCCCACATTGATATTTTTCTTTATTCTCATCACCTATCTGGTTGATATTGTATTGATACTGTAGGGAGAATTTCTGTCTTGGTCACTCATGGGAGTTAAAGGGTTAAAATGAAAGCTAGAAAAGTAGGCTTACTGTTGACATTTTTTAGGATACAGATTTTATCTTTTGTTGCACTCTCACAGTGCCAGTCTCTACTCAGGAGTACCAACCCACCATCAGGGAGTCCTGACTAAATGTTGCTCAAGGGGTTTGCTTGCACTGGACATTTGTTCCAAAAGGAATGGCTCTGCCCAGGATTGTTTTGTGGCACAAAAACTGTTATAAGTTTACAATATATGCACAAAGGTTTTTAGAAAATGCTTTTTGTTTAGTTACTAACATTGCTTGTTCCATTTGATTGAATCACAGTCCTATGTTCAGCTATAACTGTTACAAAAGAGTGCTGATCAGTTCAGCAGCCACATCAGCCTTAAGGCTTCATCAACGACTTCCAGTATGTAAAATTGTGTTATTTCATTCTCATACAAAATAAATTCTATCAGTATTTAAAAATTATGAGATTTTTAATCATATGGATACTTTTTTTTTTCATTTCACAGAGATTCCAGTTTTCAAGAGAATTCTTTGGACTGCTGCTTAGTGAAGACAGTTGCCATTATCTACTTTACAGCATCATGTTTGTCAACTCTCATCCAGT